CGTAGCTGTCATCCGTACGTAAGGAAGTAAGCACAAGATGCCGAACACCCTTAGCAGGATGCAGCTCACCCTTCATGCGACTCGCCAAATACCTCACGGCGCTTCGCGCTTGGTGATGTGAGAGCCTGGTCCGGTGAGAACCCGGCGTGCTCCGTCCCGGCTTTGTAGGGATGCGAGGTCAATGGTCAAACGACTACGGCATGCACGACTATGAGTACACCCCCCCCCCCCCCCTCCCTCTCTCCGCCTTTTTGCTTTTTTTTTCTCCCCATAACGTTTTCCTATGGCAGTGGAGGCGTGGACGTTGGCGGTGAGCACGGACGACAAGCTCCTGGCGTCGGGAACACAGAAGGGATCCGTCAACCTCTGGGCTTTGGATGGGCACAAAAAGGTAACCAGACAGCGGCATGGGCGGATTGACCGTACCCCTGGATAGATAACCCCCCAACCCACCTGTGTCTCGCCTGCTTGGTTGCTACCCAATGAGGCGCGACTTGCTGTTGTGGCATGCGGGTACAGGTATCGCCGCCGCCATGTTTGGCGGGTAGGTTAGACTTGATTTTCTACACGTGCTCACCGCCAGAGATGTGGTGATATATATGGCTGACCCCGAGTGGGATATATAAGAGTCGACACGCACGCAACCGGGGCTACGGGTCCGACAAAGAGGGGTAGGTGGTTGTCATGGGAATGAAGCCCAGTGGCAACGCGGGGGTTCGACTGCGGCCTCAAACAAGATTGAGAGTTGTGCGCTCATCTCCTTACGTCGCCGCGAGAGCGGGGATGTAAACTCCGGGTGCAGCGGAAGGATTGGTGTTCCTGAGTTGAAAAGTCAATTTTTGAATAGAGCGTCTTGCTTGTTAGCTCGCATCCTCGGCCATCCGGTAGTCTTGGGGATGGTATGTGAAATCTTTTTTTTTCATGGGTCGAGGGCTTGGACTTGTTCATCGACCGCATCTACTAAATACTACTGCTGCTGTTTTATGCGTGTCTCGATGTGGTATGAAAACGAGGGTTTTGTTTAGGAGATGCTTGGGCGTGGAATGTCCTCAAGGAATGACATCCGAACAGGTATTCTCCCCAGATCCGGTCACAACTATCTGCCTGTCAACGCCATGTTGTGTCGCGATGTATCCCGCCAAGATATACCGCACCGTGCGACGCCCGTTCCAGGGGCGAAACGCCTCGACCACGCTGCCGTCCTGTCTCGCCTAAGTGTCGTGTTACGCTAACGCTTGAGTTTGTGTGTTGGTGGTGGGGCAGGTGGCATCGATGGAAACGAGAGACAAGTTCGTGATGAGCGTGGCGTTCAGCCCCGACAACAAGTACCTGGCCTCGGGGGGACTGGACGGGTTGGTCAACATCTTCGATGTCGAAGTGAGCTTGTGTTTAGGCAAGACAACATATAGGCGAGCCGTTGTGTCCAGCACTCTTTGCCGCGGTGGTGGGGGATTAGTACTCATAGTGGGGCTGGCCGCAGTCGTTTGACCGTTGAACTCGCGTCCCTACAAAGCCGGGACGGAGCACGCCGGGTTCTCACCGGACCAGGCTCTCACATCACCAAGCGCGAAGCGCCATGAGGTATTCGGCAAGTCGCATGGGGGGTGCGCTGCATCCTGCTGAGGGTGTTCGGCATCTTGTGCTTACTTGCTTGCGTACGGATGACAGCTGGGTACGACTTGATTTATTTTCTGGTGCTTTCACTTCCGTAGACAGCTGTTTTTCTGGTGCTTTCACTTCCGTAGACAGCCGTAAGCACTGTGTAACTGCCTAGAGTGTGCTTGACCAATTGGACACAACTGTGCGATCATCCCCCTTGCGCGAAGTGAGGGTTCTCGACCCCGCACAACATGATCTATTATCTCGACCATTTTGTCGGACGAACCTACTCAAGCCTCGGCTACTGAACACACCAAGCTGAGGATGGGTAGGAAAACGGTACTTGTTGTGGCTGGCGCGGGATGTAAATCCACGACCACCTGCCCAAATGTTGACCCCAGCTAACCAGGAGATAATGAACGGCTTTATGCTCAACGGAAACGAACAGGGGGGGAACGGTAGTTGCGGCCTACTCAAACGATGACGCTTTGGCCTGTGTTTGTAATGAAATATACAAGGACAACCAGCTATTGCCCCCCCCCACCACTATCCGCCTCCGGCCGCTGCCGCGACCATCGCCATTAGCAAGCTAAGCTGCACCAAAAGCTGGAGGGCCACGCGATGCCCATCCGCAGCCTGTGCTTTTCAGCGGACGGCTCGCTGCTCTTCACGGCGTCGGACGACATGCGGGTCAACGTCTACGATGTGTGAGTTCTAAGCGAAACAAGCTCGCTTTTTTGTGTTCGACGCACGGGACGCGTCTTTAGTGTTACCTAGGTGCTCGCGGTGCAGTCGCTGCCGGTGTTGGTGTTGTTTTGCCCATGCTGCGCTCCGGTGCTGCTGTTTTTCGGGTGGCTTTCCTCTTCGTCTGTGCTTGTACTGGGTTTGGCCTGTAGGTGTTTTCTGTGTTTGTGCTGGTGTTTGATGTTGACTCTCCTGTCTCTCTCGCGCTCTGTCTGTCTGTTTGTATGTCTGTCTGTCTGACTGTCTGTCTGTCTCACCCCCCCCCCCCCCCTCCGCCCTCCTCTCTCTCGCTCTCTCTCTCTCTCCGTCTCTCTACATCTCGTCTCTCTCTGCTCCTCCCCTCTCCAATGTATATCGATGTCGTACCCAACAGGAAGAACACGAGTCTGGTGGCGTCCTTCACGGGACACACGTCGTGGGTGCTGAGCGTGGACTGCTGTCCAGACGGTCGGCACTTCGCCACAGGGTATGCACCTTCTCCCCCTCCTCCTCATCCTGCTGTTGCTGCTGCTGTTGTTCGCTGTACGCATCCCTTACCTGAAAAGCCGTGGGTCACGTCATACCCGAAGGAAAGCGAAGCTTGGTTCGCGCCGTCACACACATACACGCATGCGCGCGAAAAGGGGGGGGGGGGGGGGTTGCATGTGCTTCAGAGCGATTCATTCCAAGCACCAAATAGTGTACCTGTGACAACGACAGGCGTCTTCGTCGGTTGGACCGGTGCAGGCGTTACAGGGCACACTTGGCAGAGATCGGAACGATTATTTGTGTCAAGGCAGCAAGATATCGAAAGCACGTGTGTTCCCTCTCGCTGCGCCTGCCCACGTTCTCGTGTGCTTGATGTTTTCGGCTGATTGTTGGAACACCACAGGGGAAGCGACCAAACGGTTAAGATCTGGGATATGGCCGCCAAGGAATGCGTCCACACCTTCGACTCGGCACACAACAACCAGGTCTGTTCACACGCCCGCGTTTGCATGCCTCCGTTCGTTCTGTGAAGATTCGATGGCCTTGACGCCTTGTGATATGTTCGTGTTTTCGATCATTTTTCTCCCGTTTGAAGTGAATGCGGGCAAAATAAGTAGGGTCCCGGCTTGCACTCATGCACCTTTTCACCATCATCAGCAGAAAATGTAGCCCTGTTATGTTATATTGGCTTCTCTGTTGTTGTGTGAATGCGAGCATGATTTCGCCAGTGGGTTTCCTGACGTTCGACTTTTGTTCTCGGCGTGCTCTCTGCGAGACCCAACAAACAACGCCCTCTCTGACCTTTTGTATCATTCTGCTTGCTCATTCTGGTGGCGGTGGGCGTTCCTTCGTTGGCCGTGGCGTCGTCCGCTGTCGTTAGGTGTGGAGCGTGGCGTACAGCCCAGCGGGGGATAAACTCGTGTCCGGCTGCGATGACGGAGTGCTGCAGGTCTTCGAGAAGGCAGCATGACTCGGCCTTTGATGTATCCGTAAACATGTTGCTGCGTGGTGGGAGTTGTGTAAAATATTGTAGCTTAGAAAAGAAGGTGTGAAAAGAGGGAAACATCGTCGACGTACTCTGGAGAGATGGAGCACCCTTGGTGAAGGTAATGCGGTAGTAGCCGGAACCCGACCGCCCGGCCGTGGGTCGGTTATTTTACCTCCTCAATATTTCCTGTGACTTCTCTGACGCGGGCGAACCGCCTCCGCCGCGACGTAACAGCAGTTTCACGAATTCGAACAATGTTCTTGGTCCCTCATCATTCATGGTGTATGTTCTTTTTTTCCATCGGCGTTTCGAAGACATGAACACCTACATGTCGTGTGTAGCGGGAATCAAATCCCGCTATCCTTCCACCTAAATCAGACATCTCACCTCGACGCCAATGTGAAAAGAGGGTATCATCCGGTCGACAGGCAGCAGGCGTTCGGGAGATGGGACCCTATTTGCAATCGTCACCTCTCCACGGATGCAATATTTGTAACATTAGGTTTGATTTCCTGCGAGGAAATGGTCATGTGGCGAAGGGGGCCAAGGTTCGAAAACGGGTGGGCGGGGCAACCCGGATTGGATGGGGTCGCGCCGCAGTGTTACCCTGGAGGCGATTGCTTTAGTTTGAAGCTGTGCTGACAGAAGGCAGGCAGGTACATAAGTACAGGGTGGTTGTGTCGGCCAACGCATCTCGTTTCCAAACCGACGGCGCGGCTACCGCTACCCCGCCGATGTTTCTTCGTCCTTCCGTAAAAAGTGTCTCCCATCATGTACACGCATAAAAGTCCTCAGTGTACTACACGTATAATATTGTACAGCAGTAGTTTTGCAAGCCGGTTGTTGCTGCGCCCCCCGTTTGAAAACTGGGCAAGATTGCGCGGTCCCTTTCGAACGCCCAGCCCGGAGAGAGCGCAAACCGGAATTGTGCACAACAATGGGACAGCAGATACACAGAATTGTTGAGTCCACAGTTGAGTCCACAGGACACGGCGACATCGACTGCCTGCAGTGAAGGAAGGAAGGCGAGGCATTTTTTGGAGTACGCGGGATCTTCAGGACGTCGATTTTATTCGTGCGAGGAATCCACCCAAATCGGGGGTTTTTTTAACGAGACCCCTCTGCTCTCTGCTTCCAACTCTGTTCCACAGTCCGCACTTATAAAAGTTTGTTAGCTCTTAATAAACGAACTACCCCGGTATGGTCGTATGGTCTGCTACGATCCCACGAAGAGACCAACCAAACAGCCGAGAGGCCCGGAAGATCCGCCAACGAACCCAAGAAAAACGATCTTCCAGATGTGGCGTCATGTGCGGCATTTTTCGGAGATGAATTTCGGAGATCGGAGGCATGACGCCCAGTGTTGAACTTTGACCGGCACTTTTGACCCCTATGGAAGGGACACAGCAAAAAGAGTCAAAGAGTAGCTGGGAGCACGGCTATCCACGGTGCCCGCACGGCCTTCATCACTAAGGACTCTACCTTAGGCGTCTCCGCGGGCGGCAAGTGCCCGTTCAGACAGCAGGCTTTCCTCCCTTCTCAAAGAGGCAGAAAGAACATGTTGCCTCCCCATCCCCTCGATCAGCTCAGGTGAGCACGGCTGCTGTTCTGTACACGTCCCATGGGTTACACAGGGAAGCGGTGATATTGGATTGTCCAGAGAGAATGGTCACGAGACTCGGCGGTTGGATCACCGACAGGAGGTAAAATGTGTGCTCACGCTCCTGTTGCCCTAATTTGTATTCAACCCGGCTGCTGTTGCTGTGCTGTTCTGATCACTGATAGCGCCGCCGAGATAACGGCCGTGGCAACAGCGATCAAGGAGAGCGATTATGACGGGAAGCCGGAGGGCCCCGCCGCGCCTCGCTTCAACGCCATCACGCTGGCCGAGCCTGCCAAAGCCGACCTCTTAGAAGCCTCCCTCGTGTGTCCCAGGAAGGCCCAGGTATGCATGTACGCACTGGCTCCATTTTACCCCAGAAGTGTAACTGCCCGCCGGTGGGGCGCGTATCTCTGAATCGTATCAATTACCGTTTCATACGAGCGGGCCGGCCTATTGGGAGGTTTTCGCACCCATCGGAGGAAGCTCACCGGGTGCATCGCTGGGTGTTGTCGCTAGAGCGGGGGTGCGAAAACATCGAAATATTACCTTGCTTCGGGCATATGTAGTCTAAGATTGATTGTGTACTTCCGGCTATGCGGGCACCTGGTTGGTCTGTAACGGTTATTCGATGACATCGGCGTTTAATTGTGTGTGTGTGCACCTTGCTCCGAATCCCATTTTGTACCGCAAAGCTGTTGGTAAGCTGGTACCCGCACGCCGCTACGGTGTTATTCAGTACCTATCGGGGTCATCGCACTGGAGTACCTGCACAGAAGCACCGGGATGCGAGTACAGAACACCGTATCACGAGTATGGCCGCTATGGTGTACTCGGCGTCGCAAGTATCCAGGTTATCGCAACGGGCGTACCTTCGAAAAACTACACGACAAAGAAAGTACATGTATTTCCGCAGCAGTGCCGAGGTTCCCACCCGTCTTGGTTTTGGCACCGCGCCGGGAATGCGATAAAAAGCTAAGAGAGCAACGGAAAATGTGATCGCACCCAGTTCATTCACTCGTAGGCTACGTCACGCGTGAAGCAGGCCTCCTGTCCTGCGGCTGCTGCACAGCATTTCACCGCTGCCGCGCTTACAAGACCCGGGAGATATTTCCGTATAGATGGTGTTGCTCCGACCCCCCCCCAGTGGGAAGGCGATGGCGCGCCGGCAAAAGCACGCTTGCAAAAGTCTGTCTTCTTTCCATCCAAACTCTACCATATAAATTTCTCGTACTATTGAGTTCGACGCCATCTACATTCGATGCCGCACACTACGCTCCTTGAAAGGTAATATTCATGTGTTCGGAATCTACGGCTGCGTACGAGGCGCTCGTGGAGATCATGTCAGCGGCCGGCAGCGATCCGCCTGTGGCTGCGGTGGTTTCATGCAAGCCGCTGGGCCAAGGCTTTCAGCCGCTGCTGTCGCCCGACGATTGCGATCTTGCGGAGAAGATCGTCAAGCTTGACGCCGGGGTGGCAAAGCTGCTGGAGGAGCGATACGGCATAACGGACATCGGTGAGAGAGAGACTGAGAGAGAGAGAGACTGAGAGAGAGAGAGAGAGAGAGAGAGAGAGAGAGAGTCACACACAGACAGACAGACAGACAGACAGACAGACAGACAGACAGACAGACAGAGAGCGACTCGCTGGTGGAGCCCTTGCCTATTGCCTTAGATCCAGCGAATCTATCTTGCGAGTGTGGGCTAGCAAGCGGGCAGAGGCAGCGGTGGAACAAAGGCTACCGCCATGTTGGTGCAATCATCTTCTTTGTGTCTCCTCTTGACGATTGTAGGCTGCTCTGGATATTTCCCAACACGCGATTAATGTAATACAATCTCCTGGGAGTTGGCTTTCACGTCTCGTTCGGGCTCATACCTGATGCCAACAGCAGGTGCGAGAGAAGTAGGCATCGACCACATCGGGATCTTGTCGCTCTTTCTACAAATATCTCGGTCGCGGCGGCTGTTGTGTCCAAAACTCTTGTCTGTACTCTCTGTGCGCCGTGCCTTGGAAAACGTGCTTTGTTACATAGGTTTGCTCGCTTGCGATCCTTGGAGCTATCATGTCACTGTCGACGACGGCAACACCCCACCCCTGGGTTGGCGCGACGATGGGCTTCCCGCGAGACTTGTCCAAACGTTCCTCTACATGCGCGACGACGCTGACGACAACCACTACGCTCACCCGGTAATAAAGGGTTGCGCCGCCCGCCCCTAAGTTTTTCTTGGCGCTGCGAGAGGCTAAACCAACCTGTGGCGTGCCTTTCCTGACGTGATCGAAAGGTGTACTGAATTGTGTGACTTCTGCGTAAGCCAGAGGGCGTGCAAGTGTTGAAAAGGGAGCAGTTTCCCCTTCCGGTAGATCGCGCCACAACCTCTCGTGCGGCACCGATTGGCCGTCCCCAGTCGTGTCAAATGTGAGCATTCTCAACCTCTTCTTTGAGTGCGTCCACCACATGCGTGCTTCGAGAAGGATGCTTGGCCACCACAACTGGCACTTCAGTTTTCACCGTGACAATATCACTCCTCGAACATATCCCGCTGTTGATCAATATATGCTTGCATCCCGCGCGCCTTATTTCTCACGAACATATACACACACCCGCGCCCCTCTCGCCTCCCCTACACTGCCAAACCCGCCGGACCACGGCCGCCGCCGCCACAGCTTGATATGCTTCCGGTGGTGGATCTCAACGCCCAAAAGGTGGTCCACGTCGACAAGCAGGTCGCCGCCCCCAAGGTGCCCAAGGGGTCCGTCAACTACCACCGCAACAAGGTCGCCAGCAACACGTACCTCCCGACGCGGTTCCGCTCTGATCCGCCGCGCCCGCTGGAGATCACCCAGCCCGATGGCCCGTCGTTCTCAGTGGACGGGAGCTTGGTCTCGTGGCAGCGGTGGACGCTGCGCATCGGCTTCAACTATAGGGAAGGGCTAGTTCTTCATGATGTCAAGTTCGACGACCGTCTAGTGATGTGGCGCGGCAGCCTCGTCGAGATGGCGGTCCCATATGGGGACCCCAAAGAGCCGTTCACGAGGAAGTGCGCCTTCGACGTCGGGGACTACGGTTTAGGGTTCTGCACGAACTCACTCGAGCTGGGCTGCGATTGCCTCGGCCATATCCACTACTTCGACGCGACGCTGAACGACAGCCGCGGGCAGCCGTACGAAGTCGAGAAGGCGGTGTGCATGCACGAGGAGGACGCGGGACTCCTGTGGAAGCACGTTGAGTACAGGAACGGGCACAACGAGAGCCGCCGGTCGAGGAGGCTGGTCCTGTCATTCATCGCGACCGTCGTCAACTACGAGTGAGTTGTTAGCCTTCAGTCCGCGGGCTTGAAACGGCAGAGAAGCTGCACAGTTCTCCGTAGGTCACAACGGAATG